AGGGAGGGAGAGAAACATCATCGATAGGAGAGAGACACATCGACTGGTTGCCTCCCGAATGTGCCCCAACCCAACTGGAGCCGGGGATCCAACCTGCCACCCAGGCACGTGCCCTTGGTGGGGAATCAAACCCGTGAGCCTTCAGTGCGCGGCAGATCCTCTACCGCTGAGCCACACCGGCCAGGGCTGAAAGTGTACATTTTAGGAAACAGAAGCACACACAGACAGACAGACCGACCCAGGCATGTGCACATTCTGGAACTAAATGAACAAAGACGCCGCAGAATGAGTCTTTGAAAAGAACACGTGAGAAAAGCACAGAATGAGCAACGTGATCCTGAAACTGGTTGGCAAGTTGTGCCTCTGCTCCGAGCTGCAAACCGGAGAAGTCTCCGTTCAACGTGAGAATCGCGCAGGTTCACTCGCCCCAGAGCCTTGTGCCCCCACTTGCCTTTCCAAGTAAGCAAACACTACTTCCAGGTTTCCTCCTACTTTTAAACCATTTTTATGATTCAGAAAAAGTGAAATATATCTTCTGACTGACTCAACCATTTTCTCTCTCTCTCCTTTCACTTCTCACTGTGCGTTTTGCGGACATTTGAACCCTGTATGCAGGAAGCACTTTTGCTTACGTGGTCTATCAGTTCCTTGACCATTCCGTTCCACTCTCCTCTGTCGTCCTGGGCTCCATATTTGCCGTCGGGGACGAGTGTCACATCATAAATGAATCCCAAAATGTTTGACAACTCCTTCAGGAGATCGAGGCAATACCCTTCAAATCTGTCGTTCCCGTAGAGCGGCTTGTCCGACTTCCTGTACATCACGTAGGGTTCCTCCTGCAGGACGCAAACCGGACACGGGAGCCGTGTTACGGCGGAAGGCGGGATTCATTCCCAAGCTCCCCCCAGGGCCAGGTGCCATACGGCATCTGAAAAGGATTTCTGAGACACGGGAGCGCCGGGACCGGTCACCCACCTCCTCCCCACGCTCTGCAGAAACAGGACAGTCCACGTGTTACCTCCCCCCTCCTGTCTCCAAAGGACGCCTGAGTAAAGGGTGGGACGGAGCCCTGTCCCGTGGGCACTCCCCGCCGGGCGGAGCGGGGCGTGGGGACTTCCAGCGCATGGCCGCCCCCCGGCTTTCATCGGAGAGCTTCGCCTGCTGGCAGGAGGAGAACCCAAACCAGCTAAAAACCCCTTGTACCTCAAGTTCCTGAAAATTCTTATTCCCTTATCTCTCGGCCAAAGTTGGTCTCAGTTTCACTAGTTAGGCATTTTTGGTTGGCTTCCTTCAGGGTGTCTTACTTAAGGAGTATTTCTGTCTTTTTTATCATCAGGTTCATTTTCTGAATTGAACTCACCTGAAATCTTATAGCTGCCCATTCTTTGCTTACGCACCTAAATGACAAATCCCCGATTCTACGAAAAATGGGCATTTTCTTACGACCATGGACCCACCACCTCCATTCTCACTGGACTAATCAGAATTTCATAAAATTCTATTAGTTACCATGCCGCTGACCTGTCCTTTTACTTCTCCTCATTATTGCACTTTTCTCAGATATTTAAGACCCATTTAGGTTTCTCCTCAAACACGCTGATGGGAACAGAAAACTCTGCATTTCCAGGAGGCAGCGGCAGGGAAGTAGTCACCAGAAACACAAAACAGTTTTCATTTTGGATGAACAAGTCTCAGAGGTTAATGATTTTAGAAATAAATCGGTCTGACATTAGGGACTGACTCTAAAAGTGGAAATGTCCGAAAGTAAAGAATTTAGACTTGGCCACTCCTGCCCTTTACCCCGTGGGTCGGGGCTGGGAAGGGGGAGGGGGACACCTGTGCAGGTACAGTGGCCGGACGGGTGTGTGGCCGGGGTTCCAACAGGAAGCGGGAAGCACCCCTACCTGGGCTTTTGCAGGGTGGAAGGTTCAGGGGCTATTCACCAAGGAGCGAGCAGGGAAAAGGGAGCCCAGGACGGAGGCGGGGGTGTGGGCCCCAGGGACCCACCTTAGGAAGTGCTACCACTCAGGGCCGGGGTGGGTGGGGGCAAGCATGCGCCTAGGGTCCCGGACAGCTGGGGTCTGGGAGATGGATCACTCCCGGGACAGGAGCCGCGGTCGTGGAGGAGAGTTTCCGACAAAGCCAACGGGAGGCAGGGGAAAACATCTCCTTACGTGTCGGCCCCACTCTCCTGGCATCTTGCCACAGTCTCGCTTGGTGGAAGCCAACCAGCCACCGGAGAGCAAAGGGGCCCCAGCTGAGACGGCTGGAGGGTGGGTGGAGCAGAGCTGATCTCCAGAAAGTCGTTGGAAGCTGATCATTCAATCCCATCTTAGTGTGGTCGGCTCTTAGACAGACACGAGCAGAGCCAGGACCACAGCCAGGTACAGAAGGTCACCAGGGCGGAAAGCCCCGGGTGCCTAGCAAAGGACAATTGTAGGGCAGGACCTCCCCCCAGGGCGGCCTTTCCTCCCCTAGCACGTCACTGGTCATGCGGTTTGGACCCCTGACCTTTCCTCCCAGGAGATAGCATCTAGGCCCCAGTTGTATCTCAGCTCCAGGCCCAGAAAAGCAGCAGAACCAGCCTCGGCTGACCCAGGACCAGCTGCACTGACTAATAACCCCCTGCCCTGGCGCCGACCAGTCCACCAGTGGAGACCACAACCTGAAAGGACCCACCTGGAAAGCTGCTGAATATTCTGAGACCTTCCCCTAAGATCTCCACCCTTAAAACCCTCAGGGTGGTGGACCCAGCGCTGTTCCTCCCGGGGACACGGCTTCCCTTCCCCTTCCCGTTTTCTCCCCCCCCCCAGGGGTGTCACCTTTACCTGCCTCAGTCCCCAGCTCCAGGGGCCCTTCCTTTACCTCTATACCTGGTTTCCTCAGCCCATGTTGTCTACAAATTACTTCTTCCACCTGTGTGGTTTTATAAATAAATGTTCTTATAGTTTTAGTCTTGGCTCCGAATTCTGTCCTAGTCAGACTCAGGTACCGAGGTTGCTGAACCCGGGTCCCGTCTGACCCCAGCGGCCAGACACCTGGTGTGGTTCCCGCCACCAACAATAGGGACATTCAAATAGGGACACGCGCTCTCAGTAACCCCATGAAAACCAGAATCTGCAGGCAGCGGTTGGCCTGGAGAGGACAGCTGAGGAGTCCTTTGAGGTCTAGGCTGGGGTCTGGATAAGAGAACCCTGGGTGAGACGCCCCAAACCCCACGCAGCCCACTTACGAGGATGGTGGTGACGATGAGAGTGCGGTTGGCCAGCGCGTCCGGGACGTCGTGGGCCCCGCCTCTGTGACCGCCCATCATGCTGAGCCCACGGTTGGAGTTCCAGACGCCGACCTAAGCAGAACACAGAGCGTCAGAGGCTGCGGGACCGTGAGGGCACTTGGGCTGGAGAGAGGCCCCTGTACCCCAGACGGACGCGGAGCTTGGGGTGGGGACAGCACAGCAGGGAGTCGCAGGGCAGGCTCCTGACGGGGGAATGGACAGCTGAGGAACGCCTGTGCGGAGTGACCTCGGGCGCTGACCGTCCTGAGCGTCGGCGCCCTGACTAAATGTCACAGGGAGACGGAAGAGACCAAGTGGGGGTGCGTGTGAGGGTGTTGGTGCACCGAGAGCCCCGGAAACAACAAACGACATCCAAGTGACTGCCCCCGTCCTTCCTCCACGCCGGCCCCGCTGTGAAAAAGTGTGGATCACCAGGAAGTTTGTTTTTTTAACTTAGAAGCAGGAAAATTGAGTTGTCAAGAACAGGGACAGTCCGGGAACCTTAACCCTTGGACGGGGCGGATCCACCCGCTTCCTGGGTGTGTTCCCGCGCGGGAGCACCTTGGCTGGCGGGATGAAGGAGGAACGTTACCGTCGGACTTCTGCCCAGATCCCGGCTTTGCAGTTTCCCTGCGTTTAACGTCGGGCCCGTTCACTAGCCCCGTGGTGCCTCGATCGCCTCTCCGCAAAACGGAGATAAGAGGCTTTGCTGATGTTTCAGTAAAGCAGCACCCGTGGGAACGACAAGCCTCCCTTTGTTTCTGTACTTGATTTACCCCCTAAATACAGCCCCTGGAAGTCCATTTAGCTTGACACATGCTTCTGACAAACGTGGCTTCTCTGAGGAAGCCTCAAGGACTGTCACCCTCGCCGCAGCGGGAACTATTTCAGTGTCACCGTTTTCTCCCACCCGCCACGGGGGCCGGGCGCCCTTTCTAGCAGACGGGGGCTGGGCTCGTCTTTCCTTCGTGTCCGGAGCCTGCCGTGAGGAGGCTCCTAGAACTGGGAGGGAGGCGGGCGGCACCCTCGCTAACCACCTGGGGGCGGGACCGGGTGTGACCAGGCCCATCGCTCAGGCGCCTGCAAGTCTGCTGCTGAGGAATCTCCCGTTTTCTTCGGCTGCCTTTAAACCCAAAAAGAACAGCTTTGTCTTTTCTTCTCAGTCTCCACCCCTCCCGCTTGTCTGCAGCAGGAACTCTTGCTCTAGGAAGGGAAACTCAGGCCAAACCCGCCCGGAGCCTTGGTTTTCATCCGGAGCCGCGCTTTAGGTCGGACTCTGGACGGTGTGTGCACCGGGTCCTGGCTGCCCTTCTGACCACGCCCCGGCTGAGGCCCTGGGGCAGGCAAACCTGATGTTTCATTCAGTATTGAAAGGTGGAGCGGTAACGGTGTGCGGCCAGCTCCCTGAGGAAGGAAGGAGTCCTTCTTAATCCCGCCATGAATGTCCTGTGCTGAGATTTACAAGTGGCACCTTGAACAGCCTCCCAGGGTCACACTCCTTTAAAAACAAACGGGACACTGTAGACGGACGGCCGCAGCTCACTGTCGGCTCTGCTTCTTTCCCAGCCCCACTGGACGTGCAGAGGTCAGGTGATCAGAATCGGCGCCGCTCCTTCCAGCCAACTGAGACCCAGAGTCCCGCTCAGGGTGAATTTCCTCCGTAAAATCAGAAAAAGGGTACTTCTTTCCACTGTCCACGTAACAGAAGTTCCTTCTGGACCTAGACTAAAAGAGCATCAAAATGCAGGGTCTCCCCAAAATGTGCACACACTTTAACAGCTGATGACTGATTTCCACCCCTTTCCAGGTTTGGCTGATTTGAAATAATGGGTGAAGCCAGACTAAGCTTTAAACAAAGAGCATTTATCCTAAAGGCCTCTAGACATTTTTTATGGGGACACATAAGAGATGGAGTTCACGGTACAAACAGGCAACCGTCGACCCATTGAGGGCCCGCAAACACCGCACGAAGTCGTTCCTGATGTTGGCGATTCTGCTGCTTCGCGTTAGCAGCAGGGCCTGGACCAGAAGGGTCGTCAGTTTGAAAACAGGGATTGATAAAAAAATTATTTCTGTAGATTCTTTTAAATTTTGAAAATGAACTGTGTTGATAAACACTGACTTTATAATTGTTCAAAGTGGGCATATGTTTTTGGGGACACCCTGTATGGCCAAGGTCAGCCTGTTCCTGGGAAGTGGATGGTGTCACACAGTTTGCAGGACCTCGACCTCCTGCTCTCACGTCTTTTAATCAGCAGAACAGTGTGTGTGTTTTAAACCCGAGCCCATCGCTCTTTGCCTAATTGAGGCGAATGAACCCGCCAGCGACTGAATGTCTCTTTCAGAGGAAGCAGGTCCCCCGAGCCCTGTGTGTCGGGGGGGTGGGGGGGGGAGGCTGGTGTTAACCAGGTGCCCTGATGTTTAGTATTTTGTCCACTGACCTTGGAGGACGTCCCAGGAAGTGGGACCTGTTTTCAGGAGGTTTTACTAAACCAGGCAGCAGTGGTTGACCAGTGAGATGTGGTGGAGGGTGGACCAATATCTGTGGGGAGAAACTGCAGAAGGCACACGATGTGGTCCCGTCACCCTGCGGGTGGCACGCGGAGCCCCCATTGCCACCAGGACACTGAGAGACGCGCCCAGGTGACATCAGCAAACATTTTTTAAAAAAGTGATGCCACCAAACTCTGCTCAGAGTGACTAGTCCCATGTTCCAAACCTGGGTTGTGATTCCCACAGACGGGGCCCGGTGCTGAGGGCGAGGAGCATCTGCATAAACAAGGGGTGCCTCTGTTTCTGTATCGTGAGCCTTCTGAGCAGGTATTTCAGTGACGGGCTTTGCAAAGTCTCAACACCTCCCCTTTGGGAAGGATTTCATGTGACCTGATCTGTACAGAAAGGGTCCA